TATTTATTACCTTGGCAATATTTGTACTTTTTCGCATAAAAATCTAAAATTATGACACATTAAAACCGATTTTTCATATCTTTATTCTAATGGAAGATTTGCGATTTTTATCGCTTCACATTTTAAGACACAAAAAGTTTCGTAAGAGCTTTTTATACATTTTAAATAAACATGTTTACAGGGGATTATCCATTTTGCGGTTTCGACAATAAACGCAAGTGAAATGCATTTAATATAAATTTTTTCATGAAATTCCTTTTTTATTATAAATTCGAATTTTTTTTTTACAAATTTTCGACCTCTTTTTGGCTTCTTTTGGACGGTATCTCAGCCATAACTAGAGGGTTGTCTATTTTCAAGTGCTCAAGATTTAAAGGTTTCTCGGTTTACACATGGTTTCGCGGACAGTAACAGTATTATTTTTGTGGTTTACTCGTCCTCTTAGGGACGCGAGGTCATCTCACGCGAGGTTCAGGAAGCGAGCTGTTTCGATGGGCTCCGACCAGAGAGAGAGGGGGGTTAGATGCGTTGGTTATAGGAGGCATATAAGGAGGTGGTTAGTGCCGTGTGGGGACTCATTACATGCGGGACATACATTGGGTATGTCAGCGTCGAGTCTGAATAAAAAGTAGCTTAACCAGTTACAATATCCAGTTGCAGGATCTTAAGTGCTACTATCACTTTTTCCGCTTATGATTGCCTACTATTCGCCGAATCTCCTGATTGAAATCCCCTATTGGAGGATTACCGGAACCAGCGTTGCGAATAGACTCACGTCTTGATGCCTGAACCGCCGCTTCCATTAGGGCTTTTTTTTTAATTTCGGCCTGCCGTAATAAATATTCACCAGTTTGTGACGTCTGATGGAGTGGGTAGCGTACTGAAGGCCTTATCGGGAAACCCCGACCGGTTAGCTTTTTTGAACATGACAAATTGTCCAGAGGTCCCGACAAAAATCGGGAGGTCAATCAATCGAAATTTGTATGGGCAAGTGGTCCGATGCTAGTGTCAGTATAGATCGCCAGGATATACTATTAATCAGGCTATCTGGCGAGCATTGGCAATTACCCACAATTGTGGTAGGAGTGTAATCGTTCATAGTGCATAATGCCGAATCGTTTATCTGTTTTGCCAGCACCATTTCTCTACGGACATTTGACAGGTTAGAATGCCAAAGATCATGATGCGCGTTAAGGTCGCCTAAAACCAAATGGTTTAGTGCACGGTGGTATATAAAATGAACGCTAAGCCTCCACCGTGGTCTCGCACGCGGTCCTTGCGGATAATGTTGTATCCGGCCCGGCTCAGAAGATCCGAACGGGCGGTCAACTTTCGGCAATTGGCAGGTGCTCTCGGCTCATATAGCCGACTATTTCGTCGATCTACCCCTAGCAGCCTGGGGCCACATAACTCGTGGACCACTCCATGTATATATTATTATTATATATTATATGGACCTTACAATGGGTCCAGACAATTTACTGGTTACATCTAACCGAAATGGAGGAATGGTGGAATCTTTTGTGGCACATGCAGCAGAAATAATCCATCGGAAGGGTTGGTTTCGACGCCAGCCCTGATGAGAAGAATTTGGAGTAGCCCATCTGCGAGGTTTTGCTCAATTGGTAGCCTTAAACTAATGTTACCTGTTACCTAAACGAAGTTAGAAAGCTCTTGGTCGGATAAAATCCGAGTCAACTCCGGTGAGTAGAACCGGTTGTCGTGAAAGTCGACAGTAATAATCTCGTCGTTATCGCTTTCAAAAAAGTAAGGCCCAATTCCACCTCCGAACCAAAATATGCACCAATCTTTCTTTTTATTTTTGTAATGACCTCTCTTCTCTTTTCTGAGGATTCTCGGAGCCTTAAATGCGAAAAATTTTGCTTATTTAAGTATCTCCCGAGTGGGAATTGTGCCTCGGCGCTGAAGGAATCTTTGTTCGGAAAATCACCGTCCACTGCTTATTGTTAAAGCACCTAATCGACGTATGTAAGGCGTCCAGTCTCTTCAAATTTCTTTAAAATCTTACAAATTGCTTAAGTACTCTCTCCTCCTAAAGCACGAAACGTGGCCCCGATTAATCATCGGTTTTGTTGTAGGCTTTAAAACAAAATACATTTGATTTGACAGTTGAGTTTGACAGCTGTCAAAATAGAGCTCTGTACTTTTGAAAACACGAAATCTACAACCCTATGTAAATAACACATGCTTATGTATGTTTACAAATCCCTGTCTTGAATACCAAAAAATGTACATTTACAATTTACAGATATTATTTATTATATATAATCGAAACTCGCACTTTGCAGACACTTTTCAGGGCTTTACAAATAAGATTTCGTTGACATATTTGATGGGATTTTTCGAGCATCGCATGTGTGCTTATGTTGTTGCTTATGATGTATCAACATAAGTACATAAATTATCGTGCATGGTCATACGTACTGATGTAGGTACTTATGTATATATGTATGTATGTACATATGTATGTACTCTGCCGTTGATAGTTAGACTTCCTAACCAAACGGAGTTTTAAATTCAAAGTAGTTTTATTCTAGTTGGCAACTCTCATAAGTACGCTCCCGACACTCAATGCTCTCATCGCCATTCTCCTCAGTCAGGTCGCAAATCAGCGATATGTGGACGAATTTCGCTTTGAAGCGGATGGTGACAAAAAGTTCACCCACCGGGGTGGATTCGGTGACCAAGTCCCTATCACCCATAACGATTTTGATACCAGATTTGGACCCTTTCACTTTGACGATATAGTATATAACACATTAACCTATTGCTTACTTCCTTGTCTCGTCGTCCCACCTATAATAAACATACGCTGCAAAAAATGTATTTTACCCGCGACCCAGGGTTCGAAACGATTTAGTTACCGCATCAGAGGTTGGACAACACCCCAGAGAAGTTGAATCACTCGTGGATTGTCATATGATGTTGCCATGATGTTAAATCGTCTTTGGAAACTGTTTAAGCGTCTGCTTAAACCGGCTCTTTGTGAAGTGCCATTAAATTTTACTTTTATTAAAAATAATTTGTGAACCAATTTGGAATTGAAAAAAAGTGCTTTTCCTTTAAACTTTGGCCCCGCTCGACAGCCGGCATCCCCTAACTTCGCCTCAACGACAGAGACTAAGAATGGGCCGAACAATTTTCACTTGACTTGCACTCTTACTCTTTGAGAGCTCACCTCGCTAGAGGATTAATTGATTTTCGGCAACATATAAAGAGGAACTGCTAAGATTAGGATATCTATCGCGCAACGTTGTGATTTACTTCAATGAAAGCCGTATGAAAGCAGTGCAAACCGAATTGAAAGAACGAGAGGACTCCTCCTCCTCCTCCACAATATGTACCCGTGCCAGCTTTATTCTTGGCTGTTGGATACTCTAAATACCAATACCGTTTTAATTCGTCTCAATAGGTGCCGCTTAAGTTTCCAGCTTTTAATTTAGTTAATGTCACCACCTCCTACTTGCGACATCTGTGAGCGAAAGTTTGATGACATAGTTAAAAAACATAGCTAGTTTTCACACCATTTTTTAGGATAACTGGTCGATTCAATTCATCACCCCTACACAAGAACGTATATTAATATACGTTCTTTGCCTCTACGGCATTAAATTTAAGAACTTAAAGCTAATTCTCATAAAAGTTATCGTTTTGCTTTCATTCAACTTTCTTTTTACTCTTCAAAATACAAATTACAGATCAAAGGAAGATACCAATAATTAGAGCATGTTACCAGCGGCTGTATACGAGAAATCGGTGGGTATGTAGCAGAGAGACCATCACAATGGTTAGTCAGTTACAAAATGAACTCGTTGGTTACAACAGTGGTGTAAAGTCAAAATGGTAGAGTGTTAGAGTTATAAAATTAATCTGTAAATTAATTTGTTAAATAAAGATGGAAAAGAATTGAAGAATAATAATTTAGGGCTTGACGATACTGACCCTCCAAGTCGAAGCCTTCTACACCGGAAATAAGGCAGCGCACCACTCCGAGAAGACATTGACTGGAGCCAATACGAGTTCCGTGGATCATAAATAAGACGCTGCTGATTCTTCGAAAAATTTGGCGCATCACAAACTTCGTCACGGCTGCAAGGCCAGGAAGCATGTATTTCATCCCAGTTCATACAACTTCAGGGGAATTCGGTTAAACACTGCGCCGAACTTAAATAGAGAAAGAGGGCGAGCTCGAGGATAAAGTTAATGAGAATGAAGAATATCTCAGATCAATCATCCAGCCACTCCGACGAGCGCTCTCGGGGTAAAAACACCATTCTTTGAAGACACAATACCTTTATAGGTCCCTTCAGCTTAGTTCTAAGAACGGTTACAGCAAATAACTATAGAATTCGTTGCGTTGCAGAGACCATTAGCAGCAATTTTTGGAACTATTCCCGAAAATAAGATGGATAATTATGACGCATTAATGCCAGTCGTAGAAAGTTGCTATGATAGTGAGCACAAGAGGCAAATACATACGATGGAGCTGGTTCCTTTGAAGGAGTTTGCAACCACAATTGAGAGATTGACTCGTTTCAGTATTGGGGACTCCTCTGGAGCACTTTGAAATGGTAAAACTCCACTGGTTTATCAGAGGAGTAAAAAATATATACACTGAAATCAAAGAACGTACATGAATATGAATACGTTCTTTGCCATTGGTTGGGTAAAAATCATTTTAAATTCGTTTTCAACTCAATGGCAGCATTGACGAACTGTTGTTGCGGTAGATGCTGCCGTACTTCAAGGAGCTTAACCATTTCGGTGTATTTTGAATTCATACAGCATTGCTGCATTGTTCAATACCTCATATCGTATCTGAATACACATATTTTCTTAAATGCATTAAGAATATATAACGTTTCATTCAAGCAAACGAAGAAAAGCTTGTTTTGATATGTCCCTTCAGTCAGTCTTAGAACAAATCTTGCAATGAAATGTCAATAATTTGTAGCAATATGGCAGCCTCGGATGCAACACCACGAGAGGTGCACCAACACATTAATACATTGCACATTGACATTTCTGACAGCTCGCGGAAAAGAAGATGAAATCTTCTAACATATTTTTATAGTACTTTTTGAAGCAAATTTTTGGTTAAACTACACATATTTTTATATAAAAACCAAAACTGTACATGCGATTTTTACCGGCAAGTGTTAAATTATTTACCATTTGGTCGAGATCGTAAGTAAAACTTGTTTAAAAAACAGGCGGTGCACGACGGATCCTAAACGCTGTTAGCTAAAAGAGAGAGTGCTGTGTGCCGACTTTGCATGCGGCTGTTGCCAATAAGATCTCATCACCGAGCAGCTGTCAAACCGGAGCAGAAATTTCTCGCACAAACTGTGGGTGAAAGAAAGGCATGCACCTGTGACCATATAACCCATGAAAGTCTATTAAAATTTAAACTAACTTCCCGGATTAAGCGGTTTTCCGGTAGTGAGTTTTTAAAGGTTTTATAATATTGGTTAGTTCTACCAGACCACATACTATCCGTAAATACATCATCAACTAACTGCCAGTCAACGCTGCCGCAAAAATTGTCATTAACATGGATGTTTATGATATTAGCGACGATCTTGTTAAGAAGCTGAGCGACTGGAAGCTTATAGGCATCATATCAGGCAAATTTAATGAATTGAAAGAAAATTATTCAAAAGTTAACTTTGTGGAACATGTACTGATCGACTTTAAGTACATGGACAAAATATTGCTAAATAACAAAGTGCGCGAGGAAAAGTGCAATAAAAAGAGTTCAGATTTTCGTATGTTGGGCAACGAGCAGTTCTCGTTAAAAAATCGTAAATACTTTCAGGTAATATCTCATATAGTATATGTAGAACGATTCGAAACTTAATAAATTATTTTGTTATTTAGGCATTGGAGTTATACAATAAAAGCATTTGTTACTCAGAACCTGGTTCAGAGAATCTCTCTATCGGATATGCTAATCGTTCTGCTGTACTTTTTGAGTGGAAGCGCTTTAGAGAATGTCTGATTAACATTGAATTAGCACGAAAGGCAAATTATCCAATCCGTCTAATGCATAAACTTGATAAACGTGAAAAGGACTGCCGAAAATTGTTGTCAACGCAACCACCAGATATGCAACCATATGATTTTCAAATGAACTTTGACTCACATCCCCAAGTTCCCCACATCGCAGATTGTCTTGAATTGCAATACACTGAAGACGAGGGTCGCTTCATATCCACTAAACGTGATCTGATAGTCGGTGACCTTGTCGCCATCGAAGAGCCATTTTGCTCGACACTCTTGCCACCTATGAGATATATACGATGTGCCACTTGTAAAGTGGAAAATTACTTATCACTTATACCATGCGAAAACTGTTGTTCGGTGATGTTCTGTTCGGAGGAATGTCGCGATCGTGCTGTCGCCACTTTTCATAAATACGAATGCCCCATTATAGATCTTCTACATAGAATGTTCAATAAAATTCATGGTATTGCGTTGCGTGTCTGCCTTTCAACAATAGAACTCTTCCCGACAATAGAAGAGCTGATGGCATTTTGTGAAAATCCAGAAAATCAAAATAAGTCTGCATTCGATTTGGACTATACAAATTTTACACAACGTGAACACTATCGCGCCATACACGGGCTAGTGACGAATCAACATTTACGTTCCGTATCCGACCTGTTTCAGCGTTCAGTGGTTTGTGCTATTCTGAAACATTTCATTATCGAGCATACTCCATTGAAAGAATTCTTAGGTGGTGAAGAGGGAGAAAATTTCTTCACGGAACTACTATTTCGACATTTACAAACATCACCATCTAATATGCACGGCATCGATCTTGTAGAGCAAGTGAACGAAACGAAAGACGATACCACACACTCGTCCGGCGCATTCGCCTTCCTTTCGTTGCTGAATCATTCGTGTGCACCAAATACATTACGTGTGTATCAGGGCACAAAGGCATATCTATTTGTCTTCCGTCCAATACCTGCCGGAGGAGTGTTGTACGACACATATGGGTTAGTTTTTGTAAAAACAATTATCTATTTGCTAGTATAATTAATAAATTTACCTTTACAGTGCACATTTCGCTATCTTCTCAAGAACGCAGCGCATCCAGACACTATCAATGCAATATCGGTTCACCTGTAAGTGTGAGGCATGCGAAAATGACTACCCAATCTTTGCTAAGCTACAACCTAAACTATTTATACCCTACATAAATGACGAAACGGACATGAAAAGTTTGGTCAAATATGATTATCCTTATGCATTGGACAATTATCGTAAATATTGTGAATTCCTGACGCAACACGCGAACGCCTATCCCTGTGCCCAAATCAGTTCGGCCGAGGAGTGTTTAAAAATGGCGTTACATATACTCGTCGATGCAGTGCCGCTGAAAGCTAAAATGTAAACTGCGTATGCCACCTCTCATGAAACAGACACAGACACACACACATACACACACCCACATTTGCAGCCATATGCAAACAACATGCGTATACCAAGAGTGAAATTTTGCTTTTATTTCTACTGTATTTTTAATTGAACCATACGTTTTGAACATAACGTCAACACACATGACCATGCGCCTACATATATGAATATGTAGCATATATAACACGATGAAATGTTGCCGTAAATTATAATAAATCATTGTAACGAAAATGATTTTATGCAAACCATCGCTGTCGAATATTGGCTTTAATAATATAACAATTTTTTTCTTAAATTAAAAACTAGGACGAAGCAAGCGATAAAAATATACATACAAACATGCATACTAGAACTAGATGCGAGTATTATATAAGACACCGCAATTCATTTGACGCTGAAAGTGTGGCAGTTTGTAGAACAACCGGCCGATACTCTGGAAGTGTGGTGCTGAATTTAACGCCCTTTTGGTGTAGCCTCATAAAGATTGAGCGCATAGAAATCATATCCAATTGCTAAAAACAAAACCCTATTGTTACGATTTTTCACTTTCATACATATGTATGTATAAACAGATTGGTTGGTGTGCAGTTGTATTAATGTAAAAATTAAGTACATAAAAAGTTCAGTTTAAGGTCCATCAGTTATTACAGAGGTTAACGTATTAACGCCAACATATGTTTCCGATATCCCATTAAAGTATGTTTTTTATTTTAACTTACATAACTACAAATGCTATAAGCTACTAAAGAAATATTGTAATTTTTGTCGCAATTGTTTTAGAAAAGCTTTTTGTGTATATTTTCTGGAATCTCTGATTTGTGGTTCGGCATTTAATTTCGCACAAGGAAAAATACGGCTTTCTTTTAAAAACGAAAATAAATATTTTCAAGTATTAAAACTAAAACTAGCTGGCTTAAATACGGATTATTCTTTTTTTTTTTTGTAAATTTACAAATTGTGAGTGCTAAAGGACTCCCACATGAAGTCTGTATACAAAAATGTTGCTTATTTTATTAAAGTTGTTTAAAAAATTTTAAATTTTCTATGATGATGAAGTTATGTTGTATGGAATGCAACTTATATCTATGCATTTGCAGTCTAAAGTTAAATCAAGACCATTTTCACGCAGTTATATTTTTTTCAATTATCACGAAGAAAACTTCTGGTGTTTCACTATACACAGATACATTTTTAGATTAGCGTTTAAGCATTGTTTTCGAAGTCAACAAAAACCAAGTTTTTAAATTAATTAATTTACCTTAGTTGATAACTCGAAAAGTAATTATATTCAAGAAATGAAAAGGAGTTTGAATCAAATAGTTTATATGTATTTATAAAATCTCAACGGAACTGAGAAATCAAACTATACAAATCGATTTGATAATTTTATTAAAACAAATAGTAAATGACTGAAAATACACACAAAAAGTTTCTTAACATTAAACGTAAAAAAGAAAGAAAAAAAACAAACAGTTTATTTTTAATTTCCATTAAATTAGTTTTTATTTTCTTGAGATATTTTCCATACAGTTGAAATATTTCAGCGTGTGCTTTAATCCTTTATCTCCACATATTACATTTAAATCACTTTCACAAATTATGTAATTTCTAATTTATACTAAGCATTTTATTGTATGTGTTAAAGCAGTTGAAAGAGATATTAAAAAACAAGAAATGAAACAAAAACGAAACGAATAATAAGTAAACAAGCAACCAACAACACTAATTTCACAAAGCAAAACCCAAATGAAAAAAGAAAGTCAACAAAAAATAAAATAAAATTTATTTTAATAGATGAAAACCAACAGCGTATAAATGTCACTTTTTTCACTCCATATATACATATCATATACATCATATGTATGTATGTGTATATTGAAACCGTTATTTTCACGCTTCACCATTATTCACAGTATTTTACTATACAGATCCAGCAAATCTCTATTTAAACTCAAAGCGCCGGCGCGCCCACCATCCGCATTGCGACTATACACCGCCGGCAGCTGCACGAATTCACCTTGCGCTCGTCGCTTTGTCGCGAGCGTCGTTGAGGAGGAATCGGGCAAGATTTGCGCACTGCCAACAGGATTTGCTTTGGCGCCATCTCCATCCCCATCCCCATTCCCTTTCCCTTCCTCACTGTTATCCGTTTCATTTTCCCCTTTCTGCGCATGCTTGTTCTCACTCGTTGTTGTTGTTGTATTTGTGGTATTTGTTGTCGCCGCTTCATTGACATCCAAATCGAAAAATAATATATTGCATTGTTGTAAATTCTGTTCGAATTGTTTTTGAAAACTATTCGCATCGATCGGTTGCAGCTCTTCGCTATCGGTTTGTGAAAAATTTAATAATTCCGCCAATTGGCCGACACGTTGCCTCGTCGCCCCGGCGCTGTCGTGTCGCTGCTGATGTTCTGCAACTTCAACGCTCTTTGCATACACATTTTCACCAATCGTATCAACGAATTCCTTGTAATAACTCGCCTCCAGCGCGCGCACAAAATGGCCATCTAATGTCTGGAAACCGAGCCGTATGAGTAATGATATTTTGGTGTTGAAACATTGCAGCCACGCTTTGTTGGTATGATAGACACCCCACTGTGTGTCTTCGGTCAGATCATTCCAAAAGTCAAGTAGCACATTTTTCGTGAAATCAACGAGCATTGTTCGTTTCGCATCGGGTCGCAGTTGGCTGATGGCGTCCAAGTGTCGAAAAGTGATGTCGAGTAAATGTTGGGGATGTTTGGAGTTGAAGAGTTGCCATTTGTAGATCATTGTCATGAGATTCCACAACTTGTCCATTGAACTTTTGTCCAGGCGCATAATCGAGGAGGTGGCAATGTCGTTCAGCATGAATTTACAGTGATCGACGGTAAGTAGCTGAGAGTTTTTGTGCGTGGAGCCGACAATTAAGGAATCAATGAACTTGGGCTCGAGTAGCACGACTGTCACATCGTGAATCACTGCAAAAGAAAAATAATATTTAAATATATACTTTCAATAAGCAATAGGCCCAAAAAATATTGGAACAATAATCAAATAATGCATCAAAAATGATATTCGGATCCTTATAATTTAATTTGGCCACACATAAGTCATAAGTCTTCAGGGCCATCTAACCGAAGGTCTCCATGTTGCACATACTTGTTTCGATTACCTGGAAGAAAACCGCTGATTTTATGGTGTTGTAGCGTTTCTCTAACCCCGCTTAGGAGCAGGCAAGATCGTTTTAAGTCATCTAGGATATCTAACGGGAAGATCAGAAAACGATCTGTTTCGACGGCCTCGGACCAAAGGGAAAGGTGAGTTAGACTCATAGCATACAGGACATACGTTGGATATATCGGAGCGATTTCCCAACAAATGGAGGGACCGACAGTTTATACTGAAAAACCATCCGAAAGGCTGATGGTTTTTTATGAATAAAGATTCATGTTCAATATACACTCGGAGTGTTGGACATTCCCCGCCAAGGGGCGACTCAAAAAAGTTCAATTAATTTTTTATTTAAAATATTTTACTGTAACTTTTTGGATGTTGGTGATACCATCCCCAGCCTTTCGAATGTCAGTACGCAATGCGAACCGCTCGGCTACCGCAGCCGCCGATTAGAAGTTTACTCAACTGAAACATTCAGATCTTTGTTGCGCTAGTATTAAGCGTGATTCTCGAGGCAGCTCGACCTCTTCATCTGCAATAGATGATGAACGCCATTCACTGGAAGGGAGTTTAGTAAGACGATGACATACTCATCATTGGGTATGCTGGGACCGAGTCTATATAAATAGGAGTTTAACCTGCTACAGTATCCAGACCTAAGTTGTGCTAAGGTCGCGCGGGTCTCTCGCGGCAGCTCGAGCTCGTTGTCTGCAATGGGGGGTGGTTTTTCATTAAAATTTTATTCTTATAACTGTCATTACCTGTTTAACCACGTTTTTAATATATGTATGTTGGCACAAAAGGTTAAAAATTTCATTCTATATACCGAAGTTTTTACTTTCCTTCCTTTCCGCTGTCCTCCAAATCGAATATTTAAGTTGTTAATCAACAGAACTCGACCAAACTTGGTAGGTAAGCTACTTTTTCTGGAGAATAAAGTCCAACCAAATTTGGCGGGCATGTGTCTAGACAGAAGAACCTACCTTCCATATTATGTATCTTCTATTTCGATCGATAATCCACATATCAGATCGAATGTTAAACGAATTTTTCGAGAAAACACTGGGCTTACTTATTGATTATGAGTTATGAGTACCAAATATCTGGAGAAAATGTTAATATAATTCCACAAACAAGTTTATATCCTATTGGGGACATTTTTTTTAGCTTATTTAACTCCGATCTTAAAGAAGTACAGCAAATATTCGAAGTTGGGAAATGAGGAAATAAATTTAATTTGAATATCTAAAAAAGCTGCGGGATAGGGATTCAAGAACTCACCCGCGGTATGCCATGCGTATCGTAAAAGGCGACTAAAATCCAATAGTTCCTGCGACCGTTGGGTCATTATACCGGAACGACCCGTATTTTTTCCCTACCAAAGACTGCCACTACCGCAGGGAACGTTGCTACTTTTTTAGAAAATGTTATTGCGGTTACAACAACAACATCTAAACATCTTTATCTTTATATACCACAGCTTTTGTTTAGGTTTGAGTTCTAGAATATTAAAATTTTTCCATCATAAGCTTTGTTCGGTAAGGAATGCCAGTCAGAGTTAACCTGTAACGAAATGATAGTCTACCAAAGGATCTATTCCAAAATAAACCTAGAAGAAACATGCATCAGCACCTAGAAAGAATGTTCTCTGTGAAATTCCTGAAAAGTTGCGCATTTGATAAGGCCTTACAATAACAAAATACCTACACAGAGTTTTTCGACTGAGGCATGAGAGGAAGAATACCGAATGCTATTGAAATGATGACTTGACCCAAATATGTATAACTCAGTATCGACTTTTTTCTGTCAGCACAAATAACCGTTAGGTAAACAAACTTTGTATCCGCAGTGTGTGCAAAGTAGTTGCTTACAAAAACGAAGAAAACAGAATTTATGCCTATAGAACTTTTGAGAACTTCCAGGAAATAAACCAACTGCGCAAAATACTTAAATAACTAGCACATAAAAAAATCAAATCACGGCTATGTCCACGCTACTTCCGCTATATATAATTATATATATATATATATATAGTGCAAAAATGCAATTATCCTTGTGGCAAAAGTAGAAAACTGCTTGACCATTGCACTGGTCAAAGCTCAAATATTTCCTCTCCTTCAATCTTATATTACTTACATATACATACATACATATGTATGTATATCTGGAAGTATGTTTGTATATTTTTATTGCAGTGCTGGCGGAGTCACAAAGCCTAAGAAGTCAACAAATCGGCACGTTCGCGTGTTGCTGAAGCTTGATAGAGAGTGTTCCGTGGGAAAAAGAAAAAAGCATGTGTGTAAGACAAGGATTGAACGATATCAAGCAATTAAATAAAATTTGGTAAAAATATACAAACAAAAAATAAATCAAAATAATTTAAAATATTTAATAAAATAAAATAGGCGAAATAAAATAAAACGAAACGAAATCGAAAATTTTAAGCAAAATAAAAAAATAGAATTTAATAAAATGAAATTAATAAATTAATATAAATTAAAGTAAAATAAAACAGAATGCAATAAAATATAATATAAATAAATAAGCAAATGAAATAAATTAAAATAAAATGCTGTTAAATTAAATGAGAAGAAATAAAATAAAAACAATTTTAAATAGAATGTAATGAAAGAGAATAAAAAAATATTTATATTAAAATAAAATAAAAGAATAAAAAAATAATGATATAAATTAAATTTAGTAAACTAAATAAAATCACAATTAAATAATTTAAATATATAAATAAATTAACATAAATTGAAAATGAATGAAATAATATATAATAAAATAATTTAATATGAAAAAAAGTAAAATAAAATGAACTAAAACAAAATTAAATAAAAGTGAAATAAAACTAAATATAATAAAATAGAACGAATTAAAATAAAATGAAATGAAATAAAAAAATATAATGATAAAAAATTAAATAGAATAAAATAAAATAAAATAAAAAAAATAAAATAAAATAAAATAAAATAAAATAAAATAAAATAAAATAAAATAAAATAAAATAAAATAAAATAAAATAAAATAAATTAAAATAAAATAAAATAAAATGAAATGAGAAAAATAAAATAAAATAGAAAAATAAGTAGAATAAAATAAAATTAAATTAAATTAAATAAAATTAAATGAAATAAAGTTAATTAATAAATGGGGCCGCAATAGCCGAGTCGTTAGCATTGAGGCCAAATTATGGAAACTTAATTTTTTTAAAAGGAAAACCCTCCGAGTGTATTTCCGACGTGAAATATAAAGCTCAAGCTCGTAAGCGTGTTCGAATAAACTGTAGGCACCTCCATTTGTTGGAAAAACATTAAGATGCACAACACAAATTGGTGGAGGTGCTCGGTCAAAAATCGCTTCAGCGGTTACAAAAGGCGAATTATGCATATATGTGTATAAGTAAATTGAAATGAAATAAAATAGAGTAAAATTAAAAAAAAAATTAAATTATATTAAATGAAATTAAAAACAATATACTCTAAAATGTACAGAAAAAAGATAAAATTAATTTAAATGAAACATAATAAAATAAAAAAACAATTTACAAAGATAAAAAAATTAAATCGAATTAAATTAAATTAGAACGAATAAAAAAGTATAATATAAAATAAACAGAACTAAAATATTATATACAAAATTAATTAATTGAATAGATCAAAAACTGCAAAATAAAATAAAGTAAAAAATATAATAGGATAAAATAATATAAATTAACATAATACAAAATATTGTTTAAATAAAATTTAAGGCCAAAAAACTTCTGAACCGTTAAGGTTGCTGATGGAGCAAGGTATGTCTATTTCTCTTTGTCAATTTAATGCCTCATTAATTAATGTTTTTTTTTCCAAAATTTAGCGCTTTCTTGTTGCTATTCTCATTTTATCTTTACTTTTTTCATAATTTTTTCCCATTTTCATTTTTTCCCGACGCTTCTTCTAGCCAGGCTTCTTTCATTTATTTAACTGATATTTTTCTTCTTCTTCAGACGCGTATCCTGAGTATAAATTGTAGAAATAAGCCTACTGGCTTTATGCCACTTGACCTACCGCTACTGTCTTTTTCTCACATCTTTAAACATTTAAGCAGCAGTTGCAACACTTTCCGGGCATATTTGCAATGGGAATGACGCATATGGTCAAAAGGACAAAAGAGCTTATGGGCGAATGCATTTATAATCTGGCTATTAAATACAAACGTATAAATATATCTACATAGTATATATTGTACATGTATCTGTATAAATATGCTTTTTAAATTTACTACATATATACATACTCGTACACATACATATGTAAGCAAAAATTTGTTTGTGGGCTTGTTTAATGGCACTTATGACACCACATGTATTTGATGTGATAGTGGAGTGCAAGTGGCGCACGACGGACCCACACACAAGCTCAACCACAAACAACTAACAAAGTCTTGTTGTTACATAATATAATTGCTACATTAAATAATATGACTGTTTTTGTACTACAAATGCGAACATATGTAACGAAAATTTATTTGTCAATATTTACACAAAAACCTAACAAATGTTGGCATGCAATTTAGAACATGAGTGAATGAATAATAATCAGTGCTTCTGCTAAATGGATGGGCAAACAACAAAACCGCCAATATGAACTTGAAGTGTTTCCAAGTGTTGGTTAGTCCGTTAAATTTGAAAATTAAACAAAACCGAAAATGTCATGCAATGTAATAAAATAAAAATGTAAATCACGATAACAGTAACAACGGGAGTACGAGAGGAGCGCAGTTATTATTGAAATTGTAGTCACAAATAATGTGGCGACAC